ATATCTGATAATCCAGCACCCCCTGGGTCCTAAAGGTGCTGGATGGCAGCACCCCAGCTGCTCTGCTCTGCGCCGCTTCCCCAAGTCCGCCGCTGGTCAGTTTCAGCAGTGGGCTTGGGGAAGCGGCGCGGAGAACCTCCAATTGTCCGGCTGGCTGGAGGACTTCCGGGTTCCAGTTGGTACCAGATTATCAGGAGTTCTGGACCACTGGATGCCGGACAATTGGAATTTTACTGTAATGTCAAAATAATGTCAAGTTGGAGGACTTCTTACTTTGACTCCTGTAATTCTCATTTTATGAGGCATAAGGGAAGTTGGAGAAAGAGTGCTCTTTCTCAGACTTCCTGCTGTATAAATAGCACCGAAAGCCTAAATAAGCTATTTTGACTTTAGAGAGAGTTAAGGGCTTGACTCTGTGTACGCAAATTTACAGAGACACTAGGGCTATGTCTACACTGGGCCACTTATTCCGGAAAATCAGTCGCTTTTACGGAATAAGCTGTGAGCTGTCTACACTGGCCCTTGAATTTCCGGAAAAGCAATGATGCTCTACTGTACAAAATCAGCTGCTATTCCAGAAAAACTATTCTGCTCCCGCTCGGGCATAAGTCCTTATTCCGGAACACTGTTCCGGAAAAGGGCCAGTGTAGACAGCCTAGTAGTCTTTTCCGGAAAAAAGCCCCGATCGCAAAAATGGCGATCGGGGCTCTTTTCCGAAAAAGCACGTCTACATTGGCCACAGACGCTTTTCCGGAAAAAGGGCTTTTCCGGAAAAGCAGCCTGCCAATGTAGACACTCCTTTTCCGGAAAAACTGAAAATGAAATAGTATTCCGTTTTAAGCATTTCCGGAAATTCATGCCAGTGTAGACACAGCCAGAAGGTTTGAGGTCTGTTGTTTTTCACGACTGTGTATTTTTTATTTGTGTGACAAAGCTCCTATGAAAACGTGGTGGGTCCTGCGTTCCTTGCAGGTTTTGCTTGCCTCAGAGTCTCTCAGCAGCCCACAGTTTTAGGCACCTTATCTAAGGCTTCAGTTTGCTGTTTGTTGATTCTTTTCATTATTGGCCAGCGTTATAGTAAAACAGAATAAACTCCACAATCCTTTTCTCTGAGTGGAAATGGGGAGTTGTGGGGGGAGGGGAAGAACCCGGGCCCACCCTCTACTCCGGGTTCGAGCCCAGGGCCTGTAATAGTAGCTGCCTCTGTGAATCCTCAACGCCTGTTATAAGACAGCTCCAAGACCCCTGGGCTACGTCCCCACATCTTGCTCAGCATCTTCCTTCTCTCCGCTTAATCCTCTTAGTGTTCAGTTGTTCTCTCCTTTCCTCTTACTCGCAGCAGTGTCCTCCTCCATGTCTCAGGTACACAAGTGCCCCAACTGTAGTTAAAGCTTCTTTTAAGCCACTCTGAACTGGTTTTCTTAATTAGCCCCAGGTGATCTAACAAGCCTAAGTTAGCCTAACTCTGCAGGCCTGGTCAATTAGCCTCAGGTGTTCCACTGCCCCGTTTGTCTCTGCTGGTTATAAACCAGCCCCTCCCTGTTACTCAATCTGAGGTTTATATATAGTTCCCCTCCACAACTTTTTTATAGCTATCTGTTCTGACCCTGTCACATGTGTTTAACAAGCATTTATCTTTAGAAACACAAATCCACAGTTTGAGAACTGCAAAACTAACATCTGTGATGGTATCTTAGATGGAGCACTGAATCCCATTGGGTAGATAGAATGATTAGCCTTAATAATCTGTACGGAAGCCTCTGGACCCATATAAGATTGGGTCCCTAATCCATGAACTATTGGAACTCCATTTATAAAACTTTACTTACACATTACATGAATATATTGCCTCATACTGTAGAATTAGACTTTATAACCCTATTCCATGGTGAGATATCTTAGAGGTATAATGTATCTTAATTAAAACTATCTTGAGATAGATTTCTCCCTCCAAAAGGATTATCAAAAATATCTGATTTAAATAAAAATATATTTTTTAATAATTTATTTTTATCTGCCCTGGTTTTGATTAATTCACTCCAGCTGTCAACCATGCAATGCGTGCGGCCCTGGCTGTGATGCACAATTAATAAATGCTCATTATGGTATTATTTTCCCTTGATTTTCTGTCTTCACCACAATTCAGTCAAAATTATTTGACAGTCATCCTGCTTTTCAAGTAGGGTTTTAATCATAATGCATGTTACTCAAGGAAGCCAAATTAAGGTTCCATGGGTAATGACTGCACTTGCAGCTGAGTATAGATGAGTATAGCACTTTACTGACAAACTATAGGAAGTCTGAGATGTGAGATTTTTTTGGGCTGGGAACAAAATTTAATGGAAGTATCAAAAGACATATCTTTCACATGAGGATGCTTCCATTCCAGAAATTTTTTCCTCAGTTAAAGTATGGAGGTATTAGAGCTTATCACTGAAACGGTTTCAAATATTATTTAACACAGACAAAACAATATATTTCTTCCTAATTGTGGAAACAGTAGAGTGATTTAGCTGAAACTTTCCCTAAAACTGCAGCCTGACTCCCACTGTGGAAAATTTCAGTTCAAAGGATACAAGTTTAACAGAATTATAAGCAACAGAAATTAAGGTCTTTAAGGCTATATTACCAGCTCCACCTGTAGCATATCCTTGGGTCTTTAAATCCTTTCCATTCATCAGAGAATATTCTAATCTTCAGGGTGTATTCAACTGAATTCCTATTTTAAGAAATAGGTCACATCAAGTAAAATTTTAAATTTCCAGGGCTGTAGCTAAACTGACATTTACTTAATTGCTTCTCTAGCCTATTGGTTCCCAGTCTTTTTGATATGGGGGAGCAGCAAAACCCATTCACAAACTTTGGCATACTGGCAACATTTTATTTGCATATTCATTATGCAAATGATGAATATGCAAATAAATGTTCCCGTTCTGCCAAAAGCCCAGCCCCAAGAGCTGCCAGTGTTAGCCCTAACCTCTAGAGACCCCCAACCCTCCACTACCCCCCAGCACCACCCCCTGCACCCAATCCCCCCCGTGCCAGCCTCCCACCCTCAGAGTTCCCCAGTGCCAGCTCCCCATTCAGAACACCTCAGTGCTACCACTGTGGGCCTTCTATCTTCCTCTTACCTGGGCCCCTTACAGCCCACTACCACCCTCCACCCCCCCCCCCCAAGTCGTCCCCCCCCCCCCCAGCTGGGGACTCTTATACATTTCAAAGCTGGGACTCTGAATGCAGCCCGTGGGGGGGCTCTTTTAGATTTCAAAGGAGAAATGCAGAATTGCCTATCAACTAATTGAGTAGTCGATAGAATTTCTATCGACTACTTGACTAGTAAATTACTTGATATTTAAAATCCTTAGTTAGAACAGGGAGTCGTCCCCCCCCCCCCCAGCTGGGGACTCTTATACATTTCAAAGCTGGGACTCTGAATGCAGCCCGTGGGGGGGCTCTTTTAGATTTCAAAGGAGAAATGCAGAATTGCCTATCAACTAATTGAGTAGTCGATAGAATTTCTATCGACTACTTGACTAGTAAATTACTTGATATTTAAAATCCTTAGTTAGAACAGGGCAAATACTGTTTTAAAAAAAAAAAGTCCTACGAATATTCATTAAAAACCCCCCTCATATACTTTTCAATACACCTTATGTCTCGGCTTTTTCATAAATTACTGGTAACAAGAATATTTATTGTCATTTAAGCATATATTGTAAAATGTGCGCAGAAAATGAATTTTGAATTTCTGATTACAATCGTCCACCACAAAAAGTTGATTCTTATAATTCTATCTGGCAAAACAAGCAACAGATGCATATACCATGTGACATTTGTATTTGATTACAACACTTCAAATTTTGAATTTCGAGTACTGAATACTCGCACCCAAATGCTCGCATATGATACATTTGAACAAACATTACTTGCATAAATGATTCCTTTAATTTTACAAATAAATAATAAAAAAATGTTTTGTGAAGAAGCATAATTTAGACAGATCAAATATTTGTGGACTTGAAAATGACAATAAAAACAGTCTTCATTAGAAGCCACATTTTCTAATTATTTTCTTAACTAGCAAACTTATCTGGCATTGCCTAGGTCCTTTAGGGCCAGGAGAAAGCAAGAGTCCAGGCAGGGCGTTGGGGAGCAAGGTAGAAGGCTGGGGTTATAGAGAGCTATGAGAGTTGAGTGTTGAAAGGGTGGGGACAGGCTAAGGGCAGAGGAGCCCATCCAGTGGGGCTTTCTCCCCCCCCCCCCAGCCAGTGGAGCCATTTCTCTGCTCCCAGCCCCTCCAAACCACTGTGGGCCTTCTATCTTCCTCTCAACTCTTTTCCTGGCTGCTGGGGTCCTTCTGTCCCCCCCCCCCTTCCCCTGGCTGCCAGGGGGCTTTGCTCTCTCTCTCTCCCATCTGGTGCTGCAGCCAAGGGTGAAGGGAAGGAAGAGTTTGGGGGCAGGGGAGCTACTTACCTGGTCTGGTGGCAAGAAAGATGGAGAGCCACAGCCGTGCTGGCCACTCTCTTGGTGGTGTGGCTGCCACCAAAGGTCTCTCTGCAGTATAACTCTCTGCTATACGCTCGCTGCTCCCAGTGGCCTCTCTCAGTATTGCATCCTTCCCCTCTGTGTTCCTCTCTTTTCATGTTATATAAAATAGTCCTATTCCCAGCACTTCCCATTTTCGTGGCACAACCAAACCATAAGCTTGCTTTAAGTTAGCATAAGTGGAAGCTGCATGCCTAATTTGGTGGTTCTAGCTTTTACTGTTTAGGAAGAGTTCTTGAACAAACAGACTCCCAGGTGAGTAGACAGACAGGTGCACGTTTCTAATAAATTATTTAATACGTTAAAATAAGGCACCCATATACAGTTTAATGACCAAAAATGTCAATTCTAATTGTATACGCTGGCAGGAATTTTATTTTAAGTCAGAGGAAGATTTTTGTTCAGAATACTTTTTTGCAGCTGCTGAGTCTCTATTATAAAGTTTATATTTTCAGGGGGAGCTAGAACGAGAGAGACAGCAGCATGAAGCAATGATTTCTGCCATGAGAGAAGAGGAGAAGATCAAAGTTGACAGAATGGCTCATGACCTAGAAATAAAATGGACAGAAAATCTTCGGTAAGTGTTTTTTCTTTGTTTTAAGTAAGAAAGAAAAGCGTGCATTAAATGTAACAAGTAATACTAATATGATGTAGAGCAAAGACTTTTGTAATTATATATACTTTTTACATTCATTTCTCAATAATACTAGTAAATGTTTATTTTTATGAAAGATTAGATCATATTTTAGTTATATTACTTTTGCTTTTAGACAGGAATGCAGTAAACTTCGTGAAGAGTTGAGGCTTCAGCATGAAGAAGATAAAAAGGCAGCTATGACTCAACTCTTGCAACTGAAAGAACGTGAAAAAAATGCTGCCAGGGATGGATGGCAAAAGAAGGTGGAAGATCTTTTAGACCAGGTAACTAGAATGGCTAACTCAGTATCAGGAAACTGCTGTAATTTAGCTTGAGTGCTGATGGCTTATTAGTGACTAATTGTATGAAAGCAGTAGAAAACGTGTCTCTAGGTTTAATTTGGATGAATGTAACTCATTACAGATTACTCAAATAACAATACTGATTAATGTGAAAATTAACATGATGAGCAAGTATACATAGTCTTTCCTTGTGGTACTGAACTTGAGAAAATTGTTTTCATTTCTTTGGTATTCTTACCCCCACTCTGAATTTCTGCCTACCTACCTATTCATGTTTCTTCTTGTAAGTATTTATGTATGCTATATTGCTTAGTTAGTATTCTGATTTTTGGTGGGGGGGCATCTTTTATGGTACAGTAGAAACAATTAACGTCAAAATTTGCCAATTACCTGTATCACGACACATTTACTACAGCTATCTCCACTAAGTAGGGGAGAAAATCTCAGTAGTCTCAGATTCTGCTGTGTGTGGTAATTTGGGTAAATGCTGGAGGTTTTTTAATTGCAGCTACTGTATGTGTTCATGCTAATATTTATTATAATACAGTACTTTCTCTGTGTTAAATCATTTACCCAAATTCTTTGCTTTATACTTTCTTGCAATTTCAGTAGTGAAATAGCATTGATTTTATTGACTATTTGGATGAAAAGGAAGAATATGAGATGACCTAAAATTTTAATGACAAATAGGAATAGCTTTTTGGAAATGATTAAATAAACACTTAATTTTTTATGCTTGTATTCTGACTGTATTTCAGCCATGGTTTGAAATTCAAGAGCTCGAAAAATTAAGTGTGCAACTTTGTGCTCATTGTACGATGGTTAATTTTCTAAATGCTGAAAAAACTTAAACAACAAATGGCCCTGCAGCACCCTAGAGACTAACAAAAAATGTAGATATTATCATGAGCTTTCGTGGGTATAACCCACTTCTTCAAAACTGTGCCCACAAAAGCTATTGATACTATCTAAATTTTTTTATTAGTCTCCATGGTGCTTCAGGGCCATTCATTGTTTAAGTTTCTTTTTCCCCCAGTTACAGACTAACACGCCTACTGCTCTGAGATTTCTAAATGCTGTCATTTGTGCTTATAAAGGAGACGGCTTCTGAAATTCTTGACCTAAATTATCTTTTACAGTTTCATTGTAATCAAGAATTTTTGTTTCCCTCACTTTTTAGAGTTCATTCTCATTTTGAGTTGTATAATTTTTGAAGATACATTTATTTCCATTTCTTCAGTTTGTAAGTGGCACGTTCTCAGTTACATTCCTAAAAGTCTCATTTTAAAAAGTGATTACCATAAATTAGCGTATATAACCTGCACCTGTGCATAACCCGCAGTTTTTCCTAAATATGTAAAAAAAGTCTTAGATAATCCATGCACGTGTATAGCTCGCAGGTTATATACGCTACTTTAAGGTTCCTGGTAATTGCACATACCAGCCGCAGCCTCCAGAAGAGGAGAACGGAGGGGGGAACGGAGAGCGCAGCTCAGGCAAGCTAGCTGGCTTGCAGGAAGGGAGCTGCACTCGTGCCCAGGCTCTGCGCAGCCGCAGCCAGGCGAACCCACCCTCCTCTGGGAGGGGGGAACAGAGAGTACAGCGCAGGTGAGCTGGCCGGCCTGCGGGAAGGGAGCCACACTCATGCCCAAGCTCCACTCAGCCGTAGCCAGGTACAATCCATCCTCCTCCAGGAGCGGGGAAATGGAGAGCGCAGCGCAGGCGAGCTGGCCGGCCAGTGGAGGGGAGCTGCACTCATGCCCAGGCAAGTAGAAATAAACTTGTATACCCTGCGGACATGTATACCCCGCGGGGGGGTTGCAAGGTTTGTAAAACTTTGTATAACCCGCGGGTTATATGCACTAATACACAGTACATCGGATAAAAGATGCTTAACTTTGTGTTTGTTTTATTTGTTAAAATACTTCAGTTAAGTTTAGCTAGTTAACAATGTTATGTCATGGGGAGTTTTACAGTATAGCAAGAAATCTGTGGAAATGCAGAGAGCTTGAGTAGTTGCAAGTGTCCATTTTATTGCATAGCACAGAACTAACTAGAACAAGCCCAAACTAGTTGGACTGACCCCAGTGACCTATTCAGTTACTATAACAACAAGATCTATATCTACAACCCAATATACAACAAGCAAAATATGTTGTAAAAAAGCTGACCTGTTTCTCTGTATTGTAAAAGTATCAGTTTATGACTGTTGGATATAAGCACGTACTTTTTGTTTTTTTGTTTTTTTTCCTGAATAAGATTTTGGAATGGAGTTTTTCTCAGTTAAGGGGAATATTCTGGGAATATAAATTGCTAATTCTCTTAAGTTCATTCACTTGTGTCCAGCAACACACAATAAAGACTTATGCCATACCATGACATCATGTGGAGACAGAGGGCTAATTAAAAGCTAAAACAATACAAAAGGCATTTTCCATTTTTCTTCACTTGTTACTTTTTTCATAAACAATTCCTCATTTTGAATTATTGTGTACTGTTAACTGTATTCTAGTAAAGTCTGACCATGCTGATTTTATGGTTGTGATTTTGTCTGGTGGTGATAGTTCTTTGTATTAAGCTTTTTTATTTTGGTTTTTTACTTCTGGCTCTGACAGCTTTGCTTTAGTTTTCTGTATCTCATGTTCTCAATTTTGAATGGATTAAATATTTTCATTTTGTTTCTCTGTGATTGGCAAAAGGATTTTGCTGTAGATGTTTGTGTAACTTTTTTTCTGATTCCAACACTCTTCTTTCTGTAGTTGTGATAATCTCTACTTCTGGCAGAATTAGACAATTCTAGTTGTCAAATAATAAGTATTGGGATGTAGAGAAGCCTCTGCCTGGGCCCCTGTATCAGAGGCAGCAGCGCAGGGTGCCAGGCAGGAGCTGGTCAATTAGGTGAATCAGTTTAAAGAAGTAGCTCCCTGTGCAGACTGATACAGAGGCAGCAGCGCAGGGTGGCATCAGTCACTGTCCGTGGGAGTCTAAGCTCCCTGTGGACAGAGGCTGCTGGGTGTGTGGGGGAAGAGAGGTTGAGGAGGCTGCCGCAAAGCAGACTCTGTGGTGGCCCGGCTCGGTCCAGCCTCTGTCCATAGGGAGCTCAGACTCCTGTGGATAGAGGCTGCTTCCAGGGCCCAGCCTCTGTTCTCAGCGAGCACGAGCAGGCTGCTGCTGCAAAGCCAGGGCCCACCCCCGTCAGAGGATACTTTGCAGCAGTCTCCCTTGGACCTCCCCACCCGTCACCAATCCCGCACTGCTGCCTGTGATAGAGGCAGCAGTGCAAGGGGAGGCATATAGTTTCAAGGAGCCAGTGCTGGGCATGGGGGAGACTGGCTTTTAAACCGGCTGCCCCCAGCACTGGCTCCTGCTTAGTTCTCCCTCTCCCTGTGATGCAGAGCCAGCAAAGAGAGGAGGAGAATGTGAGTAGTTGACTAGATGAAGCAATAAGCCTAGGTTTATCGTTTATTCTTCTTCGAGTGGTGTCCCCATGGGTGCTCCACTGTAGGTGTTGGATCATCCCGGCACCGTGGATTGGAGTTTTCTTGAGCAGTGGTCAGCCGGACCGGACCGCACATGTGCAGCACACACCTTGTGCCGTTCCCGCTCTTTTGATCTCTCATGCAATCCGGCTTCTACCAGTTCCTTTTTTGCCTCCCGCGGTCACAGGTGGAGCGAGCCTTCTCTCCTCAGAAAAATCCTCTCAGGAATAGAATAGTTAGTTGTATAGTCTTTGTAGTTAGTTACAGTTTTTATAGTTCTAGTTGTTGTTTATTTTATTAGTTAAAAAAAAAAGTTCATTAGTTGTAATATGTCATGCAGTTAGCCATGCCGGGCTCTCCTGGTTTTAAGAAGTGTTCCACATGCTATGAAACCATGCCAGCTTCAGACGGTCATGTCGAGTGTATCAAGTTCCTCGGAAAAACTCACAAGCCTCAAAAATGTGTCCACTGTGCCAAGTTGATGGTTAGGGCACATTAGGATAGGGAGATGAGATTTAAAATGTTTTTCCGACAAAGCGCTTCAGCTGCTGGAGCATTCTCATACAGTTTCCACTCCGCAGTCTCCTAGGGTGGAGAAAAGAAGGCCGTTTCATCACAGTCAGCTCCAGCTTGAAAAAGAGCTTTGCCAGCTTGGTCTTTACCTTCAGCACAAGTGGCACCCAAACATAAGTTGCTTTCAGAGCCAAAATTGCAAGAAAAATCTACAATGGTGCCATCAAGGGTTGGAACGGTCCACCATTTGGCAGCAATGGTACCGTCTCCGATGGTGCTGACAATATCTGCACCTTCCATGTCGGAACCGTCAACAACTGTACTGACGACCTCGGCACCAACCACACACGTGCCGATGACCTCAGCACCAACCAGCGCAGCACTGACCAGCACGGCACCAACCAGTTTGGCATAGATATCTTCGGCACCATGTCTTGTCCAGCTTTCTGGTGTCGAAGAAAGCACCTCACAAATTCACCTCCATGAGATGAGTGAGCCCAGAACCGCTAACATTCTCACTGCACTGTCTTCCACACCACCTTCTCCATATTCTCCTCAAATAACAGATGACAGGGCTCACATCCCACGAGAACAAGCTAGACACCATGCGCCTAGGTACTGTTTATCACCATCCCCTTATACAAGATACCTACCTCATTCTCCTCCTCCTTCAAGGGGATCACCATGCTCACCCCATTCCCCGCACTTACCGCCACATCATCAGGTGTACTACAGGAGCAGTATGTCATCTTGGCACATTCCACCAGTGTGATTTTACCACAGATGACCTAGTGCAACATACTAGAGGTATCACTTTCTGCATGACTTAACTCGTCATCGCTATCATCACTCTGAATATGACTATCCTTTCTGCCACAGTCACCTAGCTTCCTGTGCTCCCAGAGTTTCCCTGCAACCCTCACATTGTCAAGGAGTAGAAATGTCACTTCCTAATGCTCCCTCTGCTGCTCATCAGTCGGAACCGGAGGA